TGAGGAAGCCAGTCGCCTCGTTGGCATACGAATCGATTGGAGGTTGGTTTCCGCGATGAGGTTACCGATGATTTTGATCCTATCGGCTGAGTTGCTGACGTCCTTAGTGTCGAAGAATATCTGCACGCCGTGGATCCAGCGTAGAAAAGGTTCAGTTTCTTGGAATGGACCCCGATAAGTTGGGCCGTCCGATGTGCGAAATTTCTGGAGGTTGATCCGACCTGGTGCAGATTGCTCTGGTCGTGTTGCAACCTCGTTCTTGATATTCATGGCCAGAAGTAGGTCTTCCAGGCGTCCAATACGAGCGGCGTTGGCTTGCTGAGCTGCCATAAAAATTTGACGATCCGCTCGCCGGTCGTCGAGGGCCTGTCGGCGATCCTCCTGAGCCTGGGCAATTGTCGAGTGCTGGATCTTGAGGACGGCTTTGAACCAGTCCTTGGCAGTGCTGATGTCGGTTGCGTCGGCTGTACGAGCAGAGTCGGTGGTCTGTTCCTGGGTACCAGGCGTGGCGGTTGCGTCCGACATATTTTCTTCAGACGGACTAGGGCGAAAGGGTAGGGGGGCAATTGGCTGGGCGTGAAGATTGGATAATCGTCTGCGTTCGGCGTTCCCAGACCGGATGATAGCTTCTGGATCCGTTAGGGGGAGTAAGTCGTGAGATTCGGTGTTGCGTCTTGTGGTCATGAAACGGAAAACGTGTAGTTTTGAAAGGCGGGAGTAGTTAAAAGGAGGGGGATTAAAGGGGTTCGCGGTTGCACGGGCAGTCAAGTTGTCAAAGGTTCAGTCGAGGTTCAGTCAAGTACGTTCATTCAAGTCGGTCCAGTCAAGTCAATCCAGTCGTTTAAGTCAGTCCAGTCCAGTCATTTAAGTCAGTCCAGTCGAGTCAGGTTGTTGGTTAATTTTCAGTCGAATCAGTCAGTCTATCCAAGTCAGATTGTTGGTTAAGAGGGTTCAAGGTGGGTGGTTTGGTGTGAGAAAAAAAAAGTGTAAGGACTGAGAATGTCCTTCACTAGATCAGTCGAGGAATGGCGCAAGGGACGGGCAAATGAGCCTAGAGTTTTCTAAGACCAAACACGGGAGCTTTTATTACTGGCTCAGAGAGATGGAAGGGAGCAATTCTCTCAGTACAATCTAGAAAGAGAGAGGAAGGAAAGAAAACAAGAAGAAAGGAAATTGGGACTCACCTGGCTCAGAGAGATGGAAGGGAGCAATTCTCTGCAGAGCCAGGAAGAAGAACTGAAAGAACAAAACTAAAAGGGAAGAGTGACATGTGTGTGATAGGTTTGTGAACCCAGCCGGAGGGGGGGTTTACAGAGCTCAACCTCGAGGAAAGCCCAGCAATACGACGATCCTCGGGTCTGGGCGGACGTCTTCGAGATAGGTCAGGCCTGGAGAGCGGCTTACAGACAACGCTCCCGCAAGGCACTTCCTCCTTAAATTCTATTTTTTCTGCCACTCTTAATGTACAGGAGAACCTCCATACTATTAACTACAACATTGAATTTAATCATAAGTCACTCGTTAAACTGATAAAGAATTCTCATGAGAGCCTGAGAAATTCCATTGAGACTGCTTTGAAACTGTCCTTACAAGCAAAAAGAATTCCGGTCAAAGAGAGTAATGATGAGATGGATAATAAGTTAGATGCTATTATCAGCATGATTAGTGACAACTATAAAGAAATAATTACAGTCAAGGAAAGACTAGATAAAATTGAGACTGTCACACTTTCGAGTGGGGATAATATAATCTCTACCGTGAAAGAAGAAGTCATTATGGAACAACAGCTCAAAAACAAAAAACAATTTGATGAGATAAAAGAGCTTTTAATACAACAAAACAACATGCTTAACAATACCATAACAGGTGTCAACAGCTCTTTTGTAACTCAACTAGAATCTGTAAGGACTGAACTGAGGGACATGAAAATTAATAATTTAACGTCACCTAGATTAAACTATGTTTCACCCAAGTTTAACAACCCTTATCTTAACATTGAGAATGAGCAACAATATAGAACCCCTCATTTTAACAATCCATTTGCCAATGAAGAGAAAGGGTCTCCACTACAGAAGATAAACCCTCTTCCCAATAACCAAATGTTTTCTGGCAATAACATAGAACCTAGTGACAGGTTCCCAGGTAATCACCAAATTAATAATTATAAAGAAGAATCTAGTGCTAAAATCCCTGACAACTCTAGGGTAGTCAATGAAGGAACAAGTGTTAGACCCCGCACTGTCCTTAATAATACCCTTGACCTTAACATTCTTAATAAAATGGTACCACCCTTGAAAGACTGGCCCACCTTTGACGGAAAGGGAGATTATGATCATATCAGTTTTATCAAATACTTAGACCATATATTGAGGACTTACAATGCCCCAGATGAGTTAGTTACTTCTAGACTTCCAGGATTATTTAAAGGAGGTGCTAATCAATGGTTTATTGAGAAAACTGAATCCCTTGGAGTACAATCTTGGGACACCTGGAAGGAATTGATCAAAGCCAAATATGGTACTAGACTCTGGGAGAAAAAGATGCGCAGATTATTTGAGTCAGATTACTTTGACCCTACAAGAGATGATCCTCATGATTGGTGTATCGCTCAGAAAAAGAGGATTGATTGTATTTATAAGAATCAAACTAGGATATTGGTCAATGACAAACTTCTCAGTCAATGTAGAGGAAATATGGAACATGCCGTCAGATGCAGACTGAAAGACATGGATGTAGATATATCTGAACTCATTGAAGTTATGGAAGAAGTTGTTGAAATGATGGGTTTGAATAGAAAAAACAAAGTTCCCACTATTAATCCTAGAGATGATAAGAATAGTAGTACTGTTAGCAAAACCTCAGATATTTCAGCCAGAAATGACAATCCTGTCAAGAAACCAGTAACAGCAGAATGCTATAATTGTGGAGAAAAAGGGCACAGAAAAGCAGACTGCCCTAACCCCAGGAAGAAGATCAATCATATTTACGCTGAAGAGGAAGATGACAATCAATCTCACTTTGAAGTTATTGGTATTGAACCAGATGACCACTTTCTAGAAGAAAAGGACACAGAAAACCTTCATTTAGGATGTCATTTCATCCAAGCAGATATTGGTGATGAGTGCCTCATTAATTCTATTCAAGGAGAATCCAATCTCCCTCAATCCTGGAATACTTCATTGGAAGTAGGACATGTATCTGATGCTAAAATGTTATCCAATAAACCTGAAGCGGGCATGAGCTACACTACCGGAAAAACTTGTTACACCACGGTATTATTTGAGGACAAACCGGTGAAAGCACTCTTAGATATTGGAGCCTTTTGTTCTTGTACCAGTGGTAAATTTTTAGACCAAGTGTACCCCTCGTGGAAGAATAATTTGCTTCCTACACCAAGAGCCAAATTTAGTAGTTGCAATTCAGCTATGAAGACTTTAGGAGTAGTAATCATGCCCCTTGTCTTCCCTCATTCTAAAGGATCCTTGCGCCTCACCATAGAATTTGTGGTACTCAGTGATGCCTTATGTGACTACTTAATATTGGGAAACGATACCTTTTGCCTTTATGGTATTGATATCTTTCAGAGTAAGAACCGATTTTATACTATAGGTGGTGACTGGAAAAAGAAGTATCAGATTTGTAATGTACATATTTCCCTCCCTGATACTCCAACTGCAGAAGAAAGAAGAGACTTCAAAGAGCTTAATACCTTCAACACAGATTATCTGTCGCAGTCCTCTGTGAGTGATACCTTGACTGAAGATCAAAAGCTGGATGTGTTGAAAGTCTGTTACAATCACCAAGAGGCTTTCTGCACTACTGCGCACCCTATTGGAAATGTTCAGGGCCATGACATTAAAATAGAACTCACATGTGGGACACCCTATCCACCAATGCTCCGTAAAGCACCCTACCCCTCTAGCCCCAAGTCCAGGGAAGCGCTGGAAACTCATATCAAAGAGCTTCTTGACTTAAAGGTATTACGAAAAGTAGGCCATAATGAACAGGTAGAAATCACAACTCCCGTCATTATAGCCTGGCATAATAATAAGTCGAGGATGGTAGGAGACTTTAGAGCTCTCAATAACCATACTAAAGCAGATTATTATCCTATACCTAGGATAGACCACGCTTTGCACAATCTCTCCAAAGCTAAATACATTACAACCATGGATGTGCTCAAAGGATTTCATCAAATACCCATTGAACCTAGTAGTAGGAAGTTTATGAGAATCATTTGCCACTTAGGTGTTTATGAATACCTTAGGATGCCCTTTGGAATTAAGAATGCGCCTTCACACTTCCAAAGGATGATGGATAGTATCTTCGGTTACTTCATCAGGCAAAACTGGATGATGGTGTACATTGATGATATTATCATCTACTCTGAAGATTGGGAAACACATATTGAAAAGATTGCTACAGTGCTTAAAACTGCTGCTATGGCTGGACTAAAAATGTCAATGAAGAAATGCAGCTTTGGATATGGTGAACTGAAAGCATTAGGCCATATTGTTTCTGGACTAACCCTAGCCATTGATCAGAATAGAGTGGCCGCAGTGTTGCAGAAACACATGCCTCAGAATGTCACAGAAATGCAATCATTCCTAGGGTTCTGTAATTATTACAGGCAGCAC